AGATAGATAGATAGATAGATAGATAGATAGATAGATAGATAGATAGATAGATAGATAGATAGATATTTTCCCTCTCCTCACGATCCTCAGGAGAGCTGCCGCCTCCTCCTCCTCGGTTGACTCACAGAACGGAGGGGGAGAGAGAAGGGAGAGGCGGACCGCAAGGAAAGCTCCAGCTCCATCCCCATCCCCATCCCGGCGTGTCCCCAAGGGCCCCCTCCCTCCAGAGAGGAAGAGGGCTCACCCGTTGACCTTCGGCACCCCCCAGCCAGCCCTACCTCACAAAGAGGCAACCGAACCACCCCGTCCTTCCCTCACCGGCCACCGCCATTAAGAGATTTCAAATTTCGGCCTGGGTTCCAAAGCAGCCAATGGCCGCTTACCCATCGGGCCTTGCCGGCAGCTGATTGGGCGCAGGGGCCGGAGGGAAGGAGGAAAGAGGGCAGGGATACGCCCCTCCCATCTTCCCTTGCGCCAATGCGACCTACAGGTTTCTGGGAAGTGTAGTCAGGAGGCGCCGTGGGGCTGAAGCGGCCATAACTTTGCCAAATTTCATGGGTCCCAGCATTCTGTAAATTAGCCCTGCTTCTCCATGTTGGAAAATTACTCTGAGCAATTTCCAGTTGACCCCCGGGACCCTCCAATCCTATCCAGATTAGGCCAAGTACACATAGCCCTCACTTAAGCTAGCAAAAAATAGAGCTTGATCTTTACTTGTTAAATACCAGCCGACATTTAAAACATGAACTGGCGAAAATGGGATAAAAGGCTGCAAAAGGAGAGAGATGAACAGCAAGCAACCATTTACAGAATCTACCTATGTATCTTTCCTTGTGTCTTTATCAAAAGGGACCTCACTTTTCAGAGCCGCGGGAAACAGTCCTGGGGCTTGTTACGGGCACTCCCAGGTTCGGCTTGGGGTCACTCGCTCACTCACACACTCACAGCCTGTCGAGGCACAGGGATCTTGTCTGCCCCCCTTGCTTTCCCCCTGGGCTTTCCAGAGAGCAGACAGGGCCCCCAGCCCTGGGCCACAGGTGGGAAGTAATTAGGGACACACCCCAGTGGCTGCCAACCGAACACTGAGGCACCACAGGTTCTTTGGAGTACAGGGACACCCAGTGAATTTAAAGTAGCAGCAAAGCTTTCCTGGCTACAATGTGCATGTGCTCTTTCTCACACACGCACGCACACTCATCCACGTCCTTCTCCGTCCTTCTCAGCTAGGCTGCAGGGCACTAGCTAGAGGGAGGGAAGCGGCCAGGTCTGGATCCAAAGCTGACTCAAAGAGTGGGTGGGCTTCAGGACCCCTTTTATCCCCCAAAGTCCTTGAATTGTTGATTCAGGAGCCT